TGGCAAAATTTCCTGGTACCAGTCAAAAGGCGGGCTGCTGCATTTTGGACTGTTTGCAGTCTACAAAGAAGAGAAGAGGGGAGACCGTAGTACAAGGAGTTACAATAATCCAACCTGGAGGTCACAAAAAGCGTGAATAAGCTTCTCCAGGTCCTCGTGCGGAACATAATGCCTAGCCTTAGAGATAAGGCACAGTTGGTGGAAGCTAGATCTCAGCAGACACTTGCTTATCGAGTTTGAGCGAGCTATCCAGCAGTGCACCCAAGTTACTAACATAGTCACAAGAAAAGCTAGCAAAGGAACCCAGGGCAGCACAGAGTTGGGCACGAGGGATTTTACTGTTGAACACCACAGTCTCAGTCTTCTTATCATTTAAAACGAGAGAATTACTCAGGAACCATTCTTTGACCTCCCGCATGCATTCTTGAAAGTAGTGCAGGGACACAGCAAGGTCGTCAGTAAGGTCAAAATAGATCTGTATGTCATCGGCATAACAGTGGAAGGCAATATTGTATTTTTCAAAGATTGCTCCTAGAGGGAGCAAATACAATGAGAAGAGAATAGGGCCTAAAACTGATCCTTGAGGCACACCACAACAGACCGGAGCGGAGGAAGAGGAGAAGGTGCCTAAGTGAACTGATAAGGATCTATCAGCGAGGTATGATTTAAACCTCGTATTGGTTTGAAAATGATCGGAACTAAATTGAAATTGAATTTTATACTTTGAAAATGAATTCATTTGTTTTGAAACTGTATTTTAACCTTTAAAAATGAAGCTCTAAAATAATTTCAGTTTCAGTCCTACAATTCAGTTTTTTGGGACTTACATCCGGTTCTGATTCCAGAGTAATCAAGCGCAGATTAATAGAACTCAGTTTTAGAGGACTGAAAGTGTCACTGACGGGAATCTATAGCATCTTGAGCTGAATTAAGACCTCAGAAGTCATTCGTCATGTCGAATGACCAGCAGATAAACTCTCAGGTTGGTAATAAATGTATTACATGTATAAGAACAAGAAAGAAGAAGAAGAAAGAAAGAAGACCGCTGTCCTGCAACTTTTCCATGTGTTCCTGTTGCAACACATCCATCCATCCATCTATTTGCTTCCGCTTATCCTATCCGGTTGTTCAGTGATGACGCGACGAATCCTATTTCCGGGTCTAAAGTAGTTGTTAACATGTTTAATGTTTTGTATTTTCTTCTACTTGATCTCAAAAAGCTCCTAAAACAGTCAGTGATCAC